GATTTAATTAAATTATGACACGAATTTAAACTGACTCTCAAATCTATTTGGAAAACAAGCGAGTATTTGAATTTAAGATCTAATTAGCACAAAACCGTTTAAGGGAATTGACGGTTGCCGGGGCGAGTAGCAAAGTTTCAGATTCTTTTGACTTAAAATCAAAATTTTCATTTTTATCTTTCGATTTTCAGTTTCAAATTTGTTTTTTTTTCTGTGCGCGTGGATAGAGGGTTCAAAAAAATTTAGAAACCACCAATGGTTCAAATCTACAATGCAAAAAATTACTCTTGCAAAAATTTTATCATGGACGAAAACAATTCTTTAAATATTATAAACTTTTTATAATTTTTTTAAACGTTTTCCTCCAATTTGTTTGATGAGACTTTGCTTTTAAGTACCGGAAAAGCACTAACTGAAGTTACAAAAGCTATTTGGTTTACAGGCTTTATTTAGACCTACAACCACAAGCCAAACTATCAGCAATCAATCTATCAACTGGTTTCTCTTTATTGAATCACGTCTGCAAGTGCTGTAATTAGTAGCACTAGCGTGCAGAGGATCCCGGGTTGACTTCCATAAACTGAAAAAGCTTATCATACAATTCAATACATCAAAAGTATAGAAAAAGCTAATCATACAATTTTCACACAATTTCAAAAAAATGTTGCAAAAAGATTCAAACTATCTTCTGCGGCTACTTGAACCAAATAAAACAGTGTGGTGATGAAAAAACGTGGTTTCTTTTTTTTTTGGAAAAATATGGTTATCATACAATTTCCATATATGAAAACTCCATGACTATCTTTTTTTTGATAAAATTTTTTTGATGGCAAGTAACATGGAAATTGCCCTAACTTTTTTTCAACTGCAAACCGAATTTTGTACTTTTAATTTTTTGTTGACATAATTTTTGATGAAAATAATTTTTTTTGTCTGCATAACGTACTCCTGGATACACAAAAATTGGATTTTTTTCCGTTTCTCTAGATAACTTTTTTGAAACAGGCTAAAAACTCCAATTTATTTTGAATGGCTTGTTTATAAATGCCTTGATCAAGGTCTCATAAATTCTTATTTTAAAAATAATCTTTGGAAATTTTTGCCAAAATTTAAAAGTCTGATGCTTTCAGTACATGATTTGTGAAAAAAATTCTCACACAATTCAGGTCGTTTCCAATGCATTTTAAACGCCAGACGATAAATCCTTCGGTGAATCTAATTTGGAGTAAACCATGGTTTAAATCACTTGTGTTTGTTCACAATTACATCCCAAAGTTTTTGAAAAATGAAATTTAAACAATGTCAACTTTTTGGTTTGTGAAAAAATGCCTGTCCTACAATTTCCGTATATAAAAAAATGCTCATCTGAGATTTTCTTAACATTTTCTGTATCTATGGAATTGTACGAAATTGTATGATAAGCATTTTTTCATATATGAAAAGTGTTTGACAAGCATTTTTGATCAACCCGGGAGGACGGGGCGGGGCGTTGGTGAGGGAGGATGGGGCGGGTCGTTGGTGGGGGAGGATGGGGCGACCGCATTTTCTTCCCTCCTCAATTCTGGTTGCCAAAATTTTCCATAGGGTCCAACATCAAAAATTTTCTGAAGGCGCCTTTGGCACCGATATAACTAAATTTGAGGGGGAGCGCGCCGAAAATACGCAATTTTTTGGTCAAATATGTTTAAGTGCTCAAAGTACATCATTTTTAGCCTGTTTTTTTTTTAATTTTGCCTGCAGAGCAGAAAATTTTTGACAAAACAGTGTCCTTAAATATTTTCGGAGAGCTCTGAAGATTAAATTGATCGTCCTAAAAAAAGGTCGACAAAATTTTCACACTCGACCCTATCTGATGTTTATTTGTGTGTTCGGCTTGTGTCAAAAATTAAGAATTTTTTTAACTTCTGGGTTGAATCAAGAAACTCCCGGATCGTATTTAAAGATCAAGTCAAGTTCAAAGTGTAGGCTGACAATATCTAGAGCAAAGAATAATCCGCGAAACATTACTGTGACCAAAAAACAGAATAACAAACATTTCCATACTTCTGACCGTTGTTAGTGCGAATGACATTTGATAACCAAATGAAAGTCGTTGTCGAGAAAATCATTGTTTGAAAAAACTTCAAAAAGTCAGATTTACCAATATTTTTGTGTTTTTATTTTTGTTTCGTCTTGAATGAAATTCATTTGGAGAAAAGTATGCTAAATAAAAGAATTGCCAATATTAAATTAGCATCAAAACAAAATTTGTGAAGCGAGAATGATGTCTACAAAACCGGAGCAGACCTCAGTTTATCCGAAAAAATTGTTTACATAAAAAAACTTTGACTAGACAAGCGTTTAAAAAGTTTTCCGTTTTTAGGTCCCCGCAAACAACACAGACATCCACACACAAATAGAAACACACAACAGAAAACACACAAACAGAAAAGTTTACACACAAACAGAAAAACTTTTGCTTTTTTCAAAAACGAACTCTATAAAACGGCCAAAAAGAACAATGCAATGAGAAACAAAAACATGCTTGGAAAAAAGTACTTCAAAAAGGTATAAAACCTTTACAACTTAACAGGATTTCAACTTGGACTTAGCGTCCAAATGTCAATCTTGCCTTAGCCATTTTTCAAGGGCGTTTTGAATACAACTATACAAAAACAGAGTTAATTCTTAGATAACAGGTGACAACTAAGTGCTAATTTGCGAGTTAGCTTGGAAAAAAAATCGTGCTAAAACACTACACTCTCTAGGGTAAAAACGTAGAACTTTATTCGAATGATAAAATCTGGCATTTTTTATTAAAACGTAATAACCATATTTGTAGAATATGATAGACTAACGATAACAAGTAGTCACTGGATAAAAAAAAACTGCACTTTTTTGATTTCGAAGATCTAATGAGCGAATTTTTGCTTTCACGGATAAACATTTGAGAAACTTTTTTTTGAAGCGTTAAATAGCCAGTATATCATAAATAGTTTCAGAGGTGTTCATGCTGTAGAAAAAATTTCACAAAAAAATCAAGGATTTGAACTTATGGTCTCAAATTGGTTCTTTGGATAGCTGGTGACCTTGACGCATTGCATAGGCCATAGAAAAACGACAGCCAAGAGCTGCTTGGTAAGAAAACGGCAGAAAAAATTTAAAACGACAGACAGCAAAAGTCCGGGGCCCAAAAATGACTTAAGATCCAAATGTAATATTACACTGATGATCGAAACACTGATGATGCTGCGGAAAACTACTCACAAACAACTCAAGGATTAGAAATTAAGTTCTCAAATTGATTACTCGGTCCGGTATCAAAAAATGGCTAAAGATCCAAATGTAATTCTACACTGATGATCGAAATAATCCAACCAAAAAAGCTGCTCCAATCTATGTACAGGATTCTCGTAAGCAGTTATGTTGTCTCTAAATATTTTTCGAGACAAATTCGAGACCCTAGATTCCAATTACTTTTATTGTCTGCGAGGAAATTTTCATAGCAAAAGCAAACTGAAACTAGTTATGATATACTGGCTATTTTAAGCTTCAAAACAAAATTCTCAAGCGTTAATCCGGTAAACTCCTTCCAACAGTTTCATCTAGCATGTGTTTGAATTTCAAACATTTATCTTAAATAGTTGCAGAGAAAACAAGCCAAACGTGAAAAAAAATTCGAGCATTTGCTCGTTGATATCCAAATTTAAAAGCGAGATATACGTCAGTTGGTAGCGCAGGGCTAGTTTTCGATATAATTTTTTTGGTAAATGTAAAGCTGCAAATCAAGTGCTACGGGTCAAAGCTCGCTTAATATCGTTCCTTTGAACACAGAGGCGAAGTTGCACTTCGCAAACACAAGCAAAAATATGATCGATAATGCTACTGCGAAAAACTGAATGAGTAAAACTTTGAGTCAACATTATTTCTTCAGTGACGCACGCCAACTATGAGTCTACATAATTGCTAAGTTACGCACGCTAATTATTATTCTACATAATTGCTAAGTGACGCAAGCCAATTAAAACGCTTTAGAAGTCACTTTGAAAAAAAATTACCAACTAACATGCCTCAATCTATAGAGCGGACGCATTTTAATTATTATACAAAAAAATTCATTAAAAACATCCGACCCTGCCCAGGTTCGAACCCTCTTATTTTGTTGCAGTTCTCCTTCCGTACCTCTACGCTCAGATCCACGATACCTTGAAGCTAAAGTGCTATGTGTAATATCATAGTCTGTGTTAATATCCTTAGCATTGGCTGTACTTAATAGCTGTTTTTTGATCAAAATCAACCTTTTCAAAATGAATACAATGTTTGCGACTTAAATTGGAAAAAGAGAGTTCATACTATCACACAAAATTTGCTTGAGTAAAAAGCGACAGAGTAATTCAGCTAACTAACTCTGAAATAGCGAATGCTTTGCGCACGGCTACGATAATTACATGTTCGCTCCATGTCTATCAATTTCGAAATGAAGAACTCAAAGTTTTATTTCTGATGAGATCTGACAAAAACAACCACTAAAATCACAAAAGTAAAAACAAAATCTAAAACAACGACATTTTGAATTGAAGAAATTGAATTGAAGAAAACCCTACTGCACCATGGGAGTTAAACTTATTAAAAAATTTTTCAGAAGAAGTCAACTGAATTGTGGGAATCACGATTAAAAGAATATAACTGATAACAACACAAGACTTTACGGTTCTTTTAACAAGTTTTTTGGTAACCAAACTGAGTTTCAAAACGACAAACGAAAGCCAGAATACAATGAGGTGCTATGATACAATAGGTGGTAACTGAGAAATATTTGAGCAGTGCATGTATCAAGTTTGAGAACTCTTCTGCATATTGCATATTATAGTCGTTTCATTTTCAATCACTTGTACATGCTACTAAAATATTTTTTGTAAATATATTACTCTGCCAGATGAAATGTTGTTCAAAAAATTAAATTTTACACTTCTTTTAACGGAAAAATTGGCTGATTGAAATAAATTATAAATACTGTTCGGAGTATAACAAAGAGCGATCCAGCTTTTAACTTGAATCTGCCACCTATTGTAAATCACCGGCATTGAATGGTATCCAAAAATTTGTCAAAACTTTTCCAAAGCAACGCCGTAAGTCAAGTTCAAGTGGAATGTAATCTGGTGACTATAGGCCACTGCTTTTCATTAGAAGAGACACCTCCCTCATTGATTTTGTGTTCATACACGATTCGCATGGACAGCTCAGGCTGCTGCAACATTTGAGGGACCTTCTTGATACCCTAAAAAAAGGAGTTAGGGGAAGTTTCTCATGCGAAAAAGACGGAATGGACAAATGCCAGCCAATCAAAATTCTTTAATCTATAAATTTGAATGAAACACGCGATCAAATCAGTCAGATTTCCCGCATTTGATCTTTTGCAAATGATAACGCTCCCACACAAATATTGCTGCTCTACATAAATACCTATTAATTTGTTTATAGTAAAAAAAACACATGATTGTGGGCAAAAAATGCATTAAGAACAGTGGCTGGAAAAAGTGAGTTTGTTGTCATTTGTGGTACCTCTTTGATTTTGTCAGCTTCATTGCTTCCCTCTTCTATGAATGATTGGCACTCAAACACCTGTAGAGGAGACAAACCAATGATTTCCTCCAGAACCTAAGCAAACATCAAAAATAACAACAAAACTGGTAATTATGCACGCATCAAATGTTCCGAATGTTTTTGATGTTCCGATCACAGATATCGATGCGAAAAATCATTAACTTTCTTAGTTTCAGATTTTGGAAAAAAGGGAGTGATTCCATGGACAGTGAGGAGCATAATAAAACTCAGACTGGTTTTTCTTCATACTGAGATATTTTTGAAAAAGGCTTTAGGAATCAGAATCACGACTGAACGCCCTTTAATATAATACCGCAAAAAACTCACTGCAAAATTTTGTTGGCCTGGTTGAAGTTGAGTTAAAAAATTGAGGCATTTTACTCACTATCTGAAAAAGTATTATCAGCAAGAATCATAACTAAGAGTTTAATTTCATAGTCGTATATCAAAGAAAAACGTACCATGAAAACAATTTCGAGAAAATTGTTATAGATACCCCTCTAATAGAGAACTAGAAGCATTTCATTGGTAAGTGAGAAAAACTAAAATGAAAAAAGGAAACCAAAAACATAGGCAACAGAAAGACTAATTGAACAATTTTCAAGTTCGAATTTCAACGACACAAAAATTCTAGATCAAATTTGAGAGCTAGATCAATTTTGAAGACTTTTTCCAGAAACAAAAACCTGAAAAAAGAACTTAACTATGTTCATCGACACTTAAAAACCGAAACCATAATCAACAGTGTCACTGAAGTTACGGAAACCAACAAAAATGATTAACTATTTAAAAACGTTTTTCAACTTTTTCAGAATATACACCGAATTTCAAAATCTGTAATGACATTGACACGTTTTTATGAAACTAGGACAATTCGAAAAAAAACATGGGTCAAAGGGTAAATTTTCATTCCGCTGGGGAATATAAAAAATTAAGTCTTCTTTCGAAACTAAAAATTATTTTTTTTTGCACCATTTCCGTTTTCGCAATTGGAGATTGTAGTTAGTATTCCTTTCAATAAATGAGTTGAACTGAATTTGAAACCAAATCATAACTCAAACAGCAAAAAAAATCAAAGTTAAGCATGAGCTTTTCCCGAAAAAAAAAACACGACTTCAACAAGTGTCGTCACTATGTTCATTGACACCTGAAAAGATTCAATTACGGTAAAAATGATTCAACTTCAGTAACTTACAAGCTTTTTATTCAGTTAGGAAACCTATAACACTTTTCTGGCGCATCGAACTTCCGGGTATCGGTTATTTGTGCATTCAACTGCCGGGTTTCGATGACAAACAAAATTCACTTAAAAGCTCCTTTTTTCAAGAAAGTTTCATGACTGTTTCTTTTTAAACAAAAATAACCTAATTTGCAAAAACTGGTTCAGCAGGTAATTTTTATACTTCACTGGGAAATCTGAAGCGTAAAGTATATATCTAAAAACTGAAACTCTTTCAGTTTTTTGCGCTATTGGAACTTTCTGAGTGGAGTGCGAATTTTACCATGCATTTACCACAAAATTATGAAAAACCCAAAAATCAAACTAAAAATCAGATCTGAGAATGGAAAACTTTGAAGACTTTCCTGAAAAAAAAACCCGATCTAAATCCTTCGTGGGCACCCAAAAAACTCAATTTCTTGTACTTTTGTTTTTGACAGAGGAACGATGTCTTCGGAATTTTTTTTCGGTTATCTCACTATTATCCAAACTTTCATAGTAAATCTGAAATTTGAGCGATCTGTTTTTGTGCCCAAAAAAATTAATCGAACCAATTGATCTGGTGTTAATACTTTTCTCGCATTAATCTCGCAAAACTATCTATAATTGCTTGTATTGAGATAAAAAAGGATGAAAATCACCGTTGAATGCTAAGAAGATTGATTGCATCAACATTAGATAAATGATTTAAGACCGCATATTCGCAATTGTTCTATATTCGCAGTACTAAATTAAAATACTTAGTTTACATAAAAAGTTACTTATTTTCAACAGACATTGAAATACTTGAAGCTAAATTACTCAGTCAAATTTGACAATAATCAATTTACAATAATACTTTTAATTATTAATCAATTTTCTGTTTAATCATCATTAGATACAATGCTGATAATTTTCACCAAATATTTTTTAATCAATCTTTTTTCCTTTAGCATTCACAGATCATTTTTATTCATTATATCGCAAAGCATGAAAATGTATAATTTTGCGAGATTAATGCGAGAAGGTTTATAGAGAATCATTGTTCTGATTTTTCGTTTGGGAACAAAAAAGGATTGTTGAATCTACGATTTGCAATTTTCAATTGTTGATATATTCTAATTCTATTCCTAAATCTTAGATTCCTAATCAAGTTAAGATAAATTCCTAGTTTACCAACATGTAAACGTGAGAAAGTCAAACTGTTCAGAATTGAGTAAAATGATTTTCTGTTTTAGTTTCACAAAGTTCGTTACAGTCAATAGTTGTACGGTTACAGTTGCCCGCATGGTTACAGTGCCTTGTAGAGATAAGACACAACATCAATTCTTCGATTACTCAGTCAAATTGTATATCATTTTAATAATCAACTTTATGCTTAATCATCATTTAATACAACTCTTATAATTTATGAATTTTCTTTTGAATTAAGACAGACGCTTTGCTATGCCAGTAAAGTCACCCAATAAAAACAGCTGGTAATAGGGTAAAAATGACTGATGGTTAGTTGGATACCTGTGATGCGATTTTCACGTCCAGAGTGGCTGAGGAGTCTCTGAGTCGGATTGTGAGTGTCCACATTTGACCACTCTCATTTCTCAATTCACTCAGCGCACTCTCCACACCACACTAAGAAACAAATGAAGATAATCAGATGACTTGGAAAAGTGTCAATGACCGCAAGGAAACAGAAAAAAAACTTGATCTTTCGAATTTGAAAAAAAAATAGATGGCGAAAGAGCTCTTTGAATTTCAAGAATAATTTATGATTGACACGCTTTTGATGAAATTAAACCATCGAAACTAGTAGTGTTCCTCATGATTTTTCGCGCCATTTGCGCTTTTGTAATTTGAGAGCGTAATTTGCTTTCTTTTTAGCAAATGACTTCGTATTGAATTTTACAAGAAACCAAAAGCCAACCTGCAAAATATCAAATTTAACGTTAACAAAATTCAAAACTTTTTCCAGAAAAAAAAGGAAAAAATGAAATCGACCTATGTAAGTGTCTTAACTGCGTTCATTGACACCTAAACAGCCCTTCAAAAGTCACTCAAATTTGATTGCAACTAACGTGTCTATATTTAATGTGAACAGGATAAAATATGGATGATTTTCACAAACTTTGTTAGTAGAGATGGTCTGTTATCTAAAACATAGCCATCAGACAGTTGGAAAAGAGTCATGAACAAAAGATATCAGAAAAAATACCGACTGGTTTTTTAATTTCAATTTTGGAATTAAGTTTCATAAATACCAACTTTCGAATTTCAAAGAAAAAATAGAGAAGGTCTTAAAGCTCTTGATTTTAGTTCAAAAATAATTTACTATTGACACTATTTTGATAAAATTAACCCAATTTGAGAAACTCGATTAACAGGTAAATGTTTTATTCCGCTGGAAATCTGGAATTTAAAATCTATTTTTGAAACTAGAAGATTTTAAAACTTTTTCCTGAAAACAAACCAACAAAAATCATCAAGACCTATATAAGAGGATCTTTTAGAAACAAAATTTCTTCAACAGTGTCTGCAGAATGTTTGTTTCTCTTGGCAGTATCAAGTTTCCTGACAATTTTTTGGTCGTTAAATTTAAGTTTTGTACTGGCGGGGTGTTACTGTCGACAAGGGGGGTTACTTTCGACTCTGATCAAAACTCACTGAGACAAAGGGAACCCCTTGGACACTGCAGACAAAAATTTTAATATAAGACCGATGTCTCTGAAGATCAGCGATATCGCATCCTGTTCATATTAAAAAGAGACTCATTATTTCAAAAAATTACCAGAACATTATCTTTTGTTCTCTTGAATACGAAAACAAAAATCATCCTTCGGTATATCTGTCGCAATATACTGTACAATGCGGTATGTCTTACGATCTTATTTGCAATCATTACTTCTCAATTAGTCTTTTCTATCCTACCTTCACTTGTGCAGTGTATGACATCTGGATCTCAGAGGGACCAAACTGACAGGTCTTCAGATCAGCCAACACACATTCTCCTAAATCACTGCAACACAAACACTTTTTAGCTCTTTGTAATTCATATTCCAAATGATTGATTGAATTTGAAACTGCACTATATATTGAAACAAAAAAACCCAAACACTATGTTATAAATTGCATCATTATCACTGTTTGGACGCTCAATTTTCTGTTCGTTCCATGAGTTTTCGATTTAATATTATTTTAGTTTTTCAATGTCATATCGATCTAGAGTGATTTCACCCATATGAATTGCCATAGATTTTTTTAATTCATAGCAAGTGGCTAATGTCCCAGGTCCAGTCATCTTGATGATTGCTAATAAATTTCTTTAATTTATGTGCGCTTTATTTGATGAGTTAAACTATTTTACCAGGGGCGGATTTAGGGGGAGGGGCGTCCGCCCCCCCCCCCCAGGGATTCGACCCCCTGCCGACCCAAAGGTTCTCCCCTTGGGTACTTTTTAAGAAATCCATTTTTTGCCGACCCCAAAAATTTTTCTAAAGGCGCCTTTGGCGCCAATATGTACTAACTTTGAGGGGGAGCGCGCACCAAAAAAACGCGATTTTTTGGTCAAAATTTTTCAAAAAGTGCCTAAAAACGGCTTTCTTGACCTGTTTTTTCAAAAATTTGCCTGCGGCGCAGAAAATTTGGCCAAACAGGGACTTTTTAGTGCTTTAGAAGAGCTCGGAAAATCTATTTGGTGTAACTAAAAAAAAAGGTCGTCAAAATTTTCGAAAAAGTTTTGAAAATCCGCCCCCCCTCTCGAAAAAATCCTAGATCCACCCCTGATTATATCCATTTGCCTCAAATTACTTTAAGACTGATAATCAGCAGAAACTTTTTATTCTTTTTACTTTAAACAATGATTTTTATTCTGATGATTATTAGTTATGAGCATAAATTAATCGATTGTTTGACTCTGTTATAATCATAATTAAACTAATTTTTAATTGTTTTATAATTTTTAGTTTCAAAAGCGAAAGTGCGGGAAAATGTGTCGATTGTTTTCCAAAAATCTTAGCTTAATCTTCAATAACTAGACCAAAATTTTTTCGAAATCTTGGGAAAATCATGAACGTAAAATCAGGGGCGGATCTCTATATAGGATCTTCTCGAGGGGGGGGGGGGGGGGGGGGGGGATTTTCAAAACTCCGAAATCGATCGACAAAATTTTCTACACCGCAGGCAAGTTTTCAAAAAAACAGGCCAAAAAAGCGTTTTTAGAGACTTTTGGGAAAATGTTGACCAAAAAATCGTCGTTTTTCGGCGCGCGCTCCCCCGTCAAATTTAGCATATTAGGGTTCGTCAGCCAAAAATGGACATCTCAGAATAGTACAAAGGTGGATTCTTTGGGTTGGCACGGGATCGAATCGCTGAGAAAGAAAAGCGCCCGCTCCAACCCCCCCCCCCCCCCCTCCCCCACCCAAATCCGCTGGTGCGTAAAATCGTCCATCTTGTTCGCGAATCGTCAAAAATCTTCACTATCTTTGTTTTTTCTTCAAGATTCTTAAAAATTTCTTGAAGAATCTTTGATATCTTCCAAGACTATTTGGGAAAAACTTGCCAAGACAGCCACGCTTTTCTTTAGAATTTAACAAAGACTCTTCAAGCTTTTTCAAAGATAACAAAGATTGACGGACTTGGAGTGTACTAAAAACTAAGAACCCACCGTCTCAAAACAGAGTTGCTATGACTTTTATTCGCTATCGTTATTGTATTCAACCCGAAGTCCATACTTGATCTGATCTGCACACCAGAAGCACTCTGGCCTTCTCTTACGGTTTTCGTAAAAGGAGTACTGGTAAACTTTGGTTTAATGCGTTCTTCTGTCTGCTCAACGATATTTGACGTTCCTTCTGACGTTGTAGTTCTCTCCGCAACTATTTCACGCCCTGGGGTTTTTGGCTCGGGAACCACCTGTTTATAATCAGTTGCGAAATTTCGGATGAAAAAAAGTAATTTTTAAGTGGAATTGCTGTGTTAGAAACAATTTCTACATCAGACAGAAAAAGAATCAAAATCGCCACAACTTTCATAAGCGCATGAAGAATTAATATTTAAAAAGTATCACTGCTATTTTTAGCTGATTTTTTCAGCCAATTTTTTGCAGCTGACTATATTTAGCTCAGATGGCAAGGCTACTGGTTCGTGAACAATATCGTCTCGAGTAGGAGCTGCGCTATTTGTCGGCTCTTCGGTCGTTGGGCTAACTTCCGTCGGCCTCGAAGAAGCTTCTTCGCTTTCTCCAACAGGAATAGCAAAATCCTCATCATTTAAGGATTCCTGGAGAACTTCGTTAGTTTGTTGATCATCTTCCAAAAGGTCATCAATTTCATCATCATTTGGAACGCCAGAGTCATCATCATTTTCGATTAAATTGACATGACTAAGGCCAAACTGAATATTATTTCTGGCATTCGCTTCACGTGTCGGGAGAGTAACTACTTCGTAGTTCCTCTGAGGTACTCGGTTATTTTGGACACCCACATCAGCCCAGCCATGGTTTCCAGATTGGGCCCGAATACTCGCTGAAGATCCATTGCTTGCTGCTGGATTTGATCTTGGAGCAACTGCGTTGGTCGATTGATTTGATACTATATTTATTCTACGGCTAGTAGTCTGAGCATTGTTTGAACTTGTAGAAGTCAAAGATGTTACGGAACTCGTGCTTTGTATATTCGTTGTTGTTGGAGTGTGACTATTTGAACTTGACACTGGAGACACTAGCCTGGATGGTACGCTCCAGTAACTTATGGGTCCTACTGCAGATCTCTGAAAAAACACCATCATGGTTTGATGAAATGAATTTCCGTGAGATAAAAGAACAAAATCCGCTCACACAGACACAAACACGAAATAAAACTCGTGGCTTTTTAAATCAACATCTTGCTTCCAAAGATTGGCTACAAAAGCCTGAATAAACGTATTAGAACTGTCTTGGGTATCTCTTTTAATCCCGGTGCAAAAGTTGAAGCCCACGGTTAAAAAGTGAAGTACAGTATACAAAAAAAAACATGATTGGTCCTTAACAAAACTAGTTCATCGGATTGTTCTTTTTTGTTTGTTCAGATGCCTAACGTGTCAGTTAGAATTTGCACACCTGAAGGGTTCTCTATTTTTTTGTCAGCAAAACCAACCCAAAAGGTCTTTCAAATTGTTTCTTAATGACTTTATCAAACAAAATGCAGTTCGATGACAGATATTTCGGATCATTATTAGAAATTGCTTAGTGATTTAATTTGAGACTACACCCTGTTCCAGAGACCAAAAAAGGAAACTAAAACACACTTTCTAATAGTTAACCTGTGCTTGCATTTGAAATGGCTGTACAGCTGGATTAGGTCCCACGGATGAAGACGATTGCTGGGAACTGTTCGCAGTTGAAGTTAAGCTGCTGGACTGCGTATTTCCTACACTGAGATTACCAAGTAGCTTCCTCAGATGATCTTCTTTGCCTCTATAAACACAGATACATTTGCACCATAGAATTGAAGGCATATTTAAACACAGAGGCCACGCTGAGCTTCGCACCACTTGCGATACAAAGCTGAATTACTATGATTAAAATCAAACGGAGAAAAAATTTTAAAATAAGAAAATCGTTTTTGTCAATAAAATTTTTAAAAATTGCAACAAAAGCCCAAAAAATCCAAAACAAAATTACCTGCACCATTTGAAACTTTACAAGGAGCTTTCGGATTGCAAAAAAACCAGGTCTCGACTGGAACCGAACTCCTGGGCTTTATCGTCTCAAGCATGAAGGTTACAGTAACTTGGAAGAAAGCTAAACCTTGAAAAAAGTCGCGCTAGGGGCATATGCAGACAAAAATGAACCGAAGGAAAATAGTGCTAATAAGCACAAAAACTCTAGCTTACAAAAAAAACACGTCCCAGTCGGATTCGAACCACAACCCTTTATTATCTCAAGCAGCTGTGCTACCTCTACGCCAGTTGCGCCGTATAGTTGATTGAATTTGAATTTATAGTTAGCAAGCGTTAACTAACCCGAAGGTGCCTGAATACCTTCATACCTGAGCAACAAAGCCGAAAATACATTCATGCCAAAAAAATTCTATTTAGGAAAAAAGTCCCCTTTCCACTCGACCCTCAAATTACGCCATAAGAGGCCACTAAGACGATGCCAAATAAGCCGAAAACTATAAAGCCAAAAAATTTTAAATTAAAAATAAATTTTAACAAATCGAGTTGGTTAAATTACAGCCATCAGAAAAATCAAATTACGACTAAGTCGAATATTTAAAATATTTTAGTGTTCAAAATAGCTCTGTTGTAACAAAAAAAGGCCCAGTAGATGATTGAATCCAGAAGAAAGTCCTGTGAACAAAGCTCTTAACATGAAAAAAAGTATAGTACCCGAATGCCCTACTCTTGCTTATCGGAAGTGTAAACATGGAAGCTCTGGACTAATAGGCGGAGGCACTCGCTAGACCATTACTTAATAACAATGATAATTGAGGTTTCTGCGATTCGTAGAAGATCTTTGAAAGGCCATCCGGCCTGTTTAAGCATAGTCCATTTCTCCTATTTCCCAACATTCCAGAATGAGTTACTTTGTTGAGCAAAGCTCTTTTTTGAGCCTCAAGGTCGTTTTTTTTTGCGTCTAGAGCTTTCACGTGGTACCACTATTGCAGCCGAAATCGGTCAGTCTGTGGTAGACCTGAAGCTAAAAGTCAAGTGAGAGCTCGTCTTCGCACAACATCAATGCCATGGCAGGGGATCGATTACACGATCTGACGATCACAATGTGAACGCATTACCACTATTCTGAGTGACTCTCAGCATAGTGGTTGAAAAACAGAGAGAATTTAGGGCTTCACCAACATTCCTATTCTCTCATCGACTCAGCTTTATGTAAAATTTTGGTTGTACACATTTTCAGCTTACGAGACATCAAAAATACACCGTCGTTCTACAATAATGAATGTGGTCTCACAGATGCATAAATCGAACTTTTTTAACTTAATTTTGATGGAACTCACAGGACAGATGCGAACATGTAGAGTGGGGTTCTGATTGGAATTAGAGAGTCCACTTTTCCTCCGAGCACTCGTATGTTCTCGGGTCTCAGCAACATAACCCCTTTTCTGCACAGGATTTTGTTCAAGAGGACTACTTTGCACCCTGGCTGTATGTTGAGAGGGTCCAGAGAGGGGTTGGGTAAATACTCCATTCCTTTCACAGTCCGCACGCCGTCTGTGAGCTGCAACATCAGACAACGCCTTCCATTTTCCTACAAGAAGATGAAACTTATCAAATTTGAGGAAAAGAATAATTGATGAAATAAAGTGGATCTTATTAACCAACCCCTTTTCCAAAAAGTTCTGGCTTTAAATATTTTCCACTTTCGATACTTCTGAAAATGCACGATTCTAGCATATCTGATATCTCGCAATGAATCTAGCTGGCATTGATTCCACAGAAATATATTATTTTAAATTCATTTTCAGCTCTTTTTGTTGTTCCGATAAAGAGAGTCAGAAAATAATGCATATTCAAGTGCGTTCCAAAGTTTTAAATGTTAGACTGAAAACGAAAATGCTTGGAAAATGCGAGGAAAATGCTTGTGAATGATGCAGAACTGTAGAAATAGAGTCTAAGTTTTCACAACTGCACATTATCGCTTTACTAAATTCAAACAACAGCTACCAATAAAGCGGATAAAACACATGCTAGGAAATAGCCAATGCTAAGTGAAATTTCTAGTTTGTGGAGCACTAATTTATGCGAGTTGGTGCGAAAAAGTACATTCGCAACATAACACAAGCGTTTCCTGGTATAAACAATCATACCAACCTGTCTCTGATAACCAGTGCTACTATGCCTACTTCTATGGCTATGAGATTGCGTATGGCTCTGAGTCTGGGTGGGGTTCATGTCCCCATTGTGCTCCTCGGGGTCATTGGTGCCGACCTCGCTGTCTCTGCAGTAGGTCCTCGTCAGTTCCTGGTACTGTCTATAGAACGGCTTACTCACATCCGCCAATGCCTGTACCTGAATCACAATATTCATTAAAAAAACCATATAAACGACTCGCTGAAAGGAATAATTCTTTTAAAAACAAAAACAATCCATATTTTGATTATGTGAAACTCAAGTAGTTCGGAGGATGCCAACAGCGTAATGATTTCACAGAAAAAGCGAGAAACGAATGTTTCATCAGAAAAAATATACAGCCTGAAGACTCATACAAAGTTGTGGTAAGTTTGATTTGGGCCGCTATAATTTTTTAAACAAAAAATCAGAATAATAAAAAATTCCCCAAACTGCGGACACTTAAAGACACGCAATTCATAAAACCGGAAACAGATTCTACATAAGGCTAGTAAAAGCTAACTTTTGTCTTAGCTTTCCGAAAATAACGTTTGTTTTCTCATAATAATAAATTGTTTCCAAACGATATCTTGTTACAAGGTTATTTATAAAAATTTATAAATACAAAATAGAATCCTTTGGGAGAACACCTTAAGCCAACATGGCCCGTTTTCAGGTGTCTCATTAAGCGGAGAACAAGAAAAGAAGTTAAATTCTTCGACCCAATGCAATGGACCTTCTATCGGTAAACATTTATGAAAAGATTCTGATTGGCTCACGACTGTCGACTTTATGACTGTCTTCTTTTTACTACTATGTAACTACTGACCTGGCATAGAAAGGGACCTTTGACAACCGCTTTGCGGCAGTTGGCAACATGCGCCGGAAGCGTCGGCTCACCCATCTCATGTAGATCAAAGTCCAACAACTGGCCCAGAACTTCCTCTGTCACAACATCCGCAGTCGGCCTCTGGGACAATTCAAATATTATGTAATATTATTTGACAATTATTACTACTTACTATTAATATCAGGGAATGTTTTGGAGCATGAACAGTCGGTGGCTTTAAACTTTATACAAAGCTTTAGTTAGTACGATTAATCTTTTCACATTGACTCTATGACAGAGGATTTTGGACGAACTTATTCAAAGATTCTGCTAGACAAGTTGCTAGCAATGAAAAAGTCTATAACCCGATTTGATACCACTTGAAAATTCCAAGCGAAAGTAGCAGCAGTGATGCGGTTTGGAACAACTTTGGGGGGCGTAAGAGAGAAGACCCTGCACCATTTTAAAAACAACTAGCAATTAACGCACCTTCGGTGCTTCGAAATTTTTCGACAACTAATGAAAAAAACCGCATATATTGGAAACAACATCTGCAAACTTTTAGTGTACTCTGACTGCACCCAGGTTTGGTAATTTCGAACTTTTAAACTTTTTTAAAATCCCGTTTTAAAAGCGTCATCTCGAAAACTTAATGGGCCTCTGGAGAAATTTGGAAGCCAGATTTGCAACCACTGAGACTCCCTGAGAGCACCCTACTATAGGGTTAGGAATCCAAAATTTTGTGAATTTTTTTAAACCTAAGATTCCCGAAAAAAAAAATTGAAAAAAAAACGTCTTATCTCGGAAGGATTTGAGCATTTATATTAAGAGGCAAGATTTAGGACGCCTTGGTGTACGCTGACAATAAGGTTGTATCTTCATCAATAGTAGTTCCAAATTTTTGGAATTTCTTTGTAGATAAGTTCTTTGAGAAATTTTAAAAAAATCGAAAAACGTCACATCTCAGAAACTAAAAATATTTGAGCAGTCGCGTTTAGCAGTCGCATGTGGCAAGATTCGCAACTCTTTAGAGTACCCTGACAACACCGAACTATAGAGTTTTCAAAATTTTGAAAGGGAATTTCAAATTTTGAAAAAAAATTAATTTAAACTTTCTGAAAATTTTGAAAAAATCACAAAAAACGTCACATCTCGAAAACTACAAAGAATTGAGCAGTGATATTTGGAGGCAAGATTCGCAATCCTTGAGAGTACTTTGACAGGACCTAACTACAGGGTTGGGAATTTCAGATTTTTAACGAATAGAAATAATTCAAGTGTTCTGAAAAATTTTGAAAAAATCGCAAAAAACGTCATATCTCAAAAACTACAAAGAATTGAGCAGTCATATAAGGACGCCAGGTTCGCAATCTTTGAGAGTACTCAGACAGGACCTAACTACAGGTTGGGAATTTCCGATTTTCAAAAACTAATAATTTAGGTTTTCTGAAAAATTTTGAAAAAATCACAAAAAACGTCACATCTCAAAAACTACAAAGAATTGAGCAGTGATATTTGGAGGCAAGATTCGCAATCCTTGAGAGTACTTTGACAGGACCTAACTACAGGGTTGGGAATTTCAGATTTTTACCGAATAGAAATAATTCAAGTTTTCTGAAAAATTTTGAAAAAATCGCAAAAAACGTCATATCTCAAAAACTACAAAGAATTGAGCAGTCATATTTGGAGGCAAGATTGGCAATACTTGAGAGTACTCTGACAGGACCTAACTACAGGGTTGGGAATTTCAGATTTTTAAAGAAAAAAAAATAATTCAAGTTTTCTGAAAATTTTGAAAAAATCGCAAAAAACGTCATATCTCGAAAACTACAAAGATTTGAACAGTCATATTTGGAGGCAAGATTTGTAACTCCTTAGAGTACTCCGACAGGACCTAACTACAGGGTTATGAATTTCAAATTTTTAAAACTTAATAATAATTTAAGTTTTCAGAAAAATTTGAAAAAATCACAAAACGTCATATCTCGAAAACTACACTTGAGCAGTCATATTTGGAGGCAAGCTTCGCAATCTTTGAGAGTACTCCGACAGGACCTATCTACAGGTTGGGAATTTCAGATTTTTAAAAACTAATAATAATTTAGGTTTTCTGAAAAATTTTGAAAAAATCACAAAAAAAGTCATATCTCGAAAACTACAAAGAATTGAGCAGTCATATTTGGAAGCAAGACTGGCAATACTTGAGAGTACTCTGACAGGACCTAACTACAGGGTTGGGAATTTCAGATTTTTAAAGAAAAAAAACTAATTCAAGTTTTCTGAAAATTTTGAAAAAATCACAAAGAACGTCATATCTCGAAAACTACAAGGATTTGAACAGTCATATTTGGAGGCAAGATTTGTAACTCCTTAGAGTACTCCGACAGCACCCAACTACAGGGTTGGGAACTTCAAGTTTTGTAAATTATTTTGTTATTTGAAATTTCTGAAATCTCGTTAACTAAAATGATTCGGGCATTCAAAATTGGAGGCCAAATTCGCAACCCCTAATTCGATATTGGGCTGCTTAACTTAAACTCGGTAAAATAACCACTGAAATCAAATTGGAAAATCGAAAAAAATTCTTAACCATTGCAATATACAATATAGCTTAAACATGCAAAAATAATACGTTGAAAAAGCTTAAACATGGCGAGATAGTGAAGCCCGCATTTAAATATATAATAGATTTCTGAAAAATTTTGAAAAATTCGCAAAAAACGCCATATCTCAAAAACTACAAGGAATTGAGCAGTCATATTTGGACGCAAGGTTCGCAATCTTTGAGAGTACTCCGACAGGACCTAACTACAGGTTGGGAATTTCAGATTTTTAAAAACTAATAATAATTTAGGTTTTCTGAAAAATTTTGAAAAAATCACACAAAAGTCTTATCTCGAAAACTACAAAGAATTGAGCAGTGATATTTGGAGGCAAGATTCGCAATCCTTGAGAGTATTTTGACAGGACCTAACTACAGGGTTGGGAATTTCAGATTTTTAACGAATAGAAATAATTCAAGTGTTCTGAAAAATTTTGAAAAAATCGCAAAAAACGTCATATCTCAAAAACTACAAAGAATTGAGCAGTCATATAAGGACGCAAGGTTCGCAATCTTTGAGAGTACTCAGACAGGACCTAACTACAGGTTGGGAATTTCCGATTTTCAAAAACTAATAATAATTTAGGTTTTCTGAAAAATTTTGAAAAAATCACAAAAAACGTCACATCTCAAAAACTACAAAGAATTGAGCAGTGATATTTGGAGGCAAGATTCGCAATCCTTGAGAGTACTTTGACAGGACCTAACTACAGGGTTGGGAATTTCAGATTTTTAACGAATAGAAATAATTCAAGTTTTCTGAAAAATTTTGAAAAAATCGCAAAAAACGTCATATCTCAAAAACTACAAAGAATTGAGCAGTCATATTTGGAGGCAAGATTGGCAATACTTGAGAGTACTCTGACAGGACCTAACTACAGGGTTGGGAATTTCAGATTTTTAAAGAAAAAAAAATAATTCAAGTTTTCTGAAAATTTTGAAAAAATCGCAAAAAACGTCATATCTCGAAAACTACAAAGATTTGAACAGTCATATTTGGAGGCAAGATTTGTAACTCCTTAGAGTACTCCGACAGGACCTAACTACAGGGTTATGAATTTCAAATTTTTAAAACTTAATCATAATTTAAGTTTTCAGAAAAATTTTGAAAAAATCACAAAACGTCATATCTCGAAAACTACACTTGAGCAGTCATATTTGGAGGCAAGCTTCGCAATCTTTGAGAGTACTCCGACAGGACCTATCTACAGGTTGGGAATTTCAGATTTTTAAAAACTAATAATAATTTAGGTTTTCTGAAAAATTTTGAAAAAATCACAAAAAAAGTCATATCTCGAAAAAAATTCTTAACCATTGCAATATACAATATAGCTTAAACATGCAAAAATAATACGTTGAAAAAGCTTAAACATGGCGAGATAGTGAAGCCCGCATTTAAATATATAATAGATTTCTGAAAAATTTTGAAAAATTCGCAAAAAACGCCATATCTCAAAAACTACAAGGAATTGAGCAGTCATATTTGGACGCAAGGTTCGCAATCTTTGAGAGTACTCCGACAGGACCTAACTACAGGTTGGGAATTTCAGATTTTTAAAAACTAATAATAATTTAGGTTTTCTGAAAAATTTTGAAAAAATCACAAAAAAGTCTTATCTCGAAAACTACAAAGAATTGAGCAGTGATATTTGGAGGCAAGATTCGCAATCCTTGAGAGTACTTTGACAGGACCTAACTACAGGGTTGGGAATTTCAGATTTTTAACGAATAGAAATAATTCAAGTGTTCTGAAAAATTTTGAAAAAATCGCAAAAAACGTCATATCTCAAAAACTACAAAGAATTGAGCAGTCATATAAGGACGCAAGGTTCGCAATCTTTGAGAGTACTCAGACAGGACCTAACTACAGGTTGGGAATTTCCGATTTTCAAAAACTAATAATAATTTAGGTTTTCTGAAAAATTTTGAAAAAATCACAAAAAACGTCACATCTCAAAAACTACAAAGAATTGAGCAGTGATATTTGGAGGCAAGATTCGCAATCCTTGAGAGTACTTTGACAGGACCTAACTACAGGGTTGGGAATTTCAGATTTTTAACGAATAGAAATAATTCAAGTTTTCTGAAAAATTTTGAAAAAATCGCAAAAAACGTCATATCTCAAAAACTACAAAGAATTGAGCAGTCATATTTGGAGGCAAGATTGGCAATACTTGAGAGTAATCTGACAGGACCTAACTACAGGGTTGGGAATTTCAGATTTTTAAAGAAAAAAAAATAATTCAAGTTTTCTGAAAATTTTGAAAAAATCGCAAAAAACGTCATATCTCGAAAACTACAAAGATTTGAACAGTCATATTTGGAGGCAAGATTTGTAACTCCTTAGAGTACTCCGACAGGACCTAACTACAGGGTTATGAATTTCAAATTTTTAAAACTTAATCATAATTTAAGTTTTCAGAAAAATTTTGAAAAAATCACAAAACGTCATATCTCGAAAACTACACTTGAGCAGTCATATTTGGAGGCAAGCTTCGCAATCTTTGAGAGTACTCCGACAGGACCTATCTACAGGTTG